TGAATATGATTAGAACTCAATTAGACAAACGTTGCAAGGGGAACCACCAAGACATACAAAGTTCATGACTAGAATGAATAGTTGTGTAGGGCATAAAAATTCGTCCAATTGAAAAAAAACCTCCCATAAAACTGAATATGACTTAGTTTTTCGGTTGATGAGAGAGACCTTATTTACCAATTGGAGATCGACACTCCCGTTATTTCTTTCCAAAGAATATTTTTCATTTTTGTATCAAAATACGGGGTTCAACCTTCATGCTATGTAGTTTTAAATGCTACGAGCATTGGATGGTCTGATTTCACTGATCGTAATAAAGAAATAATCCAAACCAATCTAGTCATCCAAATACTCGTAGCATTTAATGCTACATGGCATGGAAGAATTTTTCAAAAATATGGTGAAATTATCTCATATACTTGTCTACTCTTTGCCCTTGCGGCCCAAGCGTGTACACGTCCAACAAGCTGAGGTTGACTACTCTTAACCTTTTCTGTCTTTTCGGTGGGCTAACATTGGGATATAAATAGACGGATCCACAATACTTGGGCCACAATGATAATAAGATGTAAGCATCAAGGCTTAGCCCACATAACAAGCCCTATTTATTAGGTTATGAAATAGTTTTGAAGTAATTGCAGGGGAACTCAGATGAATTTGGAGTTTTAACAGAAAACTTGGCAAAAACCCTTTTCTTAATTATAGAAATATGATATTGTACCAACGTATGAAATTCGGTTATCTTCACTAGCTTAGAAATATTATAACAAGGTGGATATGGAGAAAGTGTCATCAACATGTTTATAAACGCTAATGAATTGAAGTGCTTTCTAAATAAGCATTTTCAAACAAGTTCTTAAACTTTCAATTGAGCTTCTTAATGAAGGATTTTGCTTTTTGGAAACACAGTTAAATTTTTAATAAAAATTTCTAGCATATGCGTTAATAGACAAAAGTGTTTTTTGAATAAACTGTTGGAATTACAAAATACCTCATGCCACCCTCTAGTCGTAGACTAATTATGTCTTGGTCGACATTGATTTTTAAGGCAACAATTCTTCATACTTACGCATAGTAAAATAAGATTTAGGATTTAAAATTTCACATAACTCCAAAATCAATGTTTGACTCTATCACCAAAACCGTACTTATCCATCATGCAAATAAAGTGATGGATTGTCATTAGAGCCGGCCTTAAGGGTGTGCAAGTGGTGCCACCACATATGCCCCTAGTTTGGAAGGCCCCTCTCATTTACGATTTTATTTTACCTATATATAGAGTACATATATTTAAAGGTGCACCTCAAACTATGCAACTCAAACTAGATTCGAATACCTATTCTGGCACATCTTTTAACGTTTTATTTTAATTTTTTAATTTAAAAGCAAGGAGTTTACTGAAAATAACATATGGAATGCATATAGGTACCTATTTGAGTCACATAGAATGTCTGTTTGCCTAAAAAGTAAATGAAATTGCAATAGAAACTAAAGCGAAAAAAAATAATGTAATCATTTCATGATGAAGTCAAGATTACAAATGTTTACAAAAGTAAAATCTGGAGTGAAGGCCGAACTATATGACTTGAAATGTAAATTGACTAGAAATGTAAAGAAAAAAAATATAATTCTATCAAGATTTAAGCCTTGAAAAACAAGATAATGTTAGATGAGTCCACAAAGATCACTGATATCAGATTGGACATAGTACTAAACATATGCCTCTGAGAAGAAATCAGGGTGGTTAGAATGACACATCAACTGAATCATACATTCATACCACATGTGGCAGAGCTGTAAAAGTTTTCGATCTCAAAGATCATAGGCAGTGTCTACTTTGTCTACTTCAAGGGAAGGATTTGAGATTGTAGTCGAAGAACTAAAGATGTGCTAAAGAACAGTTTAGTTGATTGAAAAATCACTCAAGGTTTTTTTAATAATCGTAGAGATTGAATTTGACGAAGGTAATCAGTTTGAAGGCCTTATGCTCTATTTATAGGCAGTAGAGAATGAACAGCCTCGATCGTATTGCTAAGTTGAAGCAGGGGTAGATTGATCATTTGCATTGACAGTGAGTGTAATCTTAGGTATATGGCCTTTAGTGTCTTGTGGTGTTCGCATGATTGTTGTGGTGACGCCAGTGTGTTGGATGATGCATGCATATGCATTTAAGGAGGCAAGATATTTCCAAGTTTGATCGTCATCGTGGTAGGCACTCTTCGAGGATAACCCTATTCGAGCCCCGAATGGATTGAGATGGGACGGTCATCCGAGTCCTGGATAGAATCTCAAAGCGAGCTTCCAAGTTGATGGACTAGAATCGTACAACTTTGCATAAATAAAAATAATTTAGCTCTGTAGCAGGTTGTTTTTTATATATATATATATATATATATATATATATAAAACCTGCTATAGAGCTAAATTATTTTTATTTATATATATATATATATATATTTTATTTTATTTTTATTTTACATTGCATTTTTTTTTAACTTTTTTTTTTTTTTTAAAGTTTATTTCTAAGATACAAGGAGAGCAAAGCCAGGTCCAAGTCATTTTTTCCATGCAACATACAAACACGCCATCAAGTTCCTCTATATTGTAGAAACTTGCACGATTAAAATTGTTCTACTTGAAGGTTTGAATCAAAAGCATTAAAAGGAAAACGATAGATAGAAAAGTCAAGGTGTCACGTTGACCACACGTGCAAGCAAAGAATCAAGGAATCAACGTTAACGGTCAAATGGTCAATACAAATATAAAGATTGGACACCTTTTTACCGGAAGAGGATATTCGCAGGCATCTGATTAGCATCTGATGTGAATTATCCTAAAGTAATTAAGAACAGCCACTCTTGGAAAATATCCAATCTTTTAAAGTAACCAAGGACTTAGCCACGCCGTAGAACTTGACGAACGGAAGAAAATTTCTCTCCTGTCTTTGATTAGTCATCGCTTTCATGCTGTTTCTTTCTTATCATTACCTTCAATGGAGTTGAAAACATTTGTCAAGATAGATAGAGGGTACTCCATGATTTCACAAGTTAGTCCATCTTTGTTCAATGGTAGTAGGCAAACATGATTTGATGAGTCACATAAGTAAAATCTTGCTCCAATAATATAGCCAATTGAATAGGCAAACTTTGTCTACTCTTCCTTGCCTACTTCGAAGTGAATTGTATATCGAACTCACATTTTTTTTTTTAAATAAAATATTCTATATGGTTTTTCAATGACGTTAGGTGGACAAAGAAGCCTACTGGTGCAGAAAGTTCACATAACATAGCTGAGTCCTTGAGTTTGTTCCATTTTTTGCACCGGAAAGAAACTACATCGTTAAAAATCCTTTATATTACAGAACGTTTTTTGCACCGATTACAAAACGTTGACAATCACTCCTCATTTTGGTCTCTCAATTTCGACCAATGTCATTCATCAACTTAACAACCATGCATTAATATTGCCCTTCAGTTTGAATTCCATCAAAATCTTTAGTTTGCTAATGTAGCTCATGAGTGGAGCCGACTAATCCAATTTGGTTTCCCCGCGTAGATTACAAATAAAAAACCAGTTTTTAATTTATGAGGACTAGAGGAAGAAGAGATCGGGGTGGGAGTAAAAGGGTTCGAAAGGTAACAGGTCGAAGGTTCGAAGGGTTGATGAGGAGGATCGACTAGTCGAACGATCGATGGTGTGGCTGCCTGACTGGTGGCTCGGATCTGGAGAACAGGTAGTGTCTGTGCTGCTTGGCACTTCAGTTTGGGTGGGAAAAATGATGCCCGAGTTTGGTAAAGAATAACGCACCGCGAAAAGGGGTTTCTTTCTTCTGCTGGTTAGGAACTCTTGCCCTACAAGTTACCCTCATTCAATGAGGAGGTGGGCCCCTAAGTCTAAACGTGGCAAGTTAAACCAGAGGCAACTAGAGGGCTCACTTGGCTTCCTTATTGTTGCTACACATGTTACTTTTGCTAAGCACCAAGAAGTTTGATTGGAATGCCACCTGTATGTAACTTGCATGTCCGGTCCACCGCATGGAAGAAAAACATCACACTACAACATTAAAGAAGCTTTAGTTCTACTTTTGAGGGAAAGCGGCAGATTTCATGAAGAAAGCCAAGTCGGCAAAAGAGGTTTCAGAGGCGTGAACATTTACGTGCAAAAATATATGGAGATATGATACTGCACTCGGATTAGATTAAAATAAAGCACATTACTTTAACTACACTAAACACAACTATGCGAATACATTAAACCGCTAAAATTGCTCTAATTGGAAATCAGAATGCAGAGATAGTTATAAACAAAACAACTGATAGGGATGAAAATGCATTAAAAAGTTCAATCCGCATTATGTTTTAAAGCTTGTTTTAATTGCATTATGCATAGTCCTTTTTAAGGTATTTTTTGATCCACGGTATTGTCCTCATTTGAAAGGATCTAATTTGTTCACAGATACGAGATAAGGGTCATCTAATCTAACTGCCTCGATTTTTTGTATAAATTTACTCAAGTTTTAGGTTCTAAACGTAGCTCCAACTCTTGAACTAAAATATGAGTTTTAACCCAAGTCTCATTTTAAGGCAAACTTAGTCTTGAAATCCGTTCTAAGTTAGTAGGCTGATCCACCATATATGTGTACGTTTTTTTAGTTTTATATTTATAAATTCACTTAATCTAATGACTAAGATATAATATGATCAAATATAACAATAAAAAAATCTAACGGCCCAAATTTAAACAGAACAATTAAAATAATTAAAAAAATAATTTCATGTGTTTTCTATTTTACAGTGTTTTAAGAGTTTCATAGTGTTAGCGTAGTAACTCTTAAATATTTATTAAAATCTAGTTATTTTTAAATTAACTTAAGACAGTTACAGAATTCTTTATCTTAAGAGTTGCTTTAAAAAATAATAATAATAATTCATTCTTCAATAATGCTTAAAAATTTAAGTCATAAAAATGAGAGCATTACTCTATTTGGTGAGAATAATCACTATTAGAATTTGACTTTTCAATATTATTTCACACGAATGGCAGATGAGAATGTTTGACCCGTTTTTATCTGACAACTGGAAATGACATTCTATATTCTTAGATTAATTGTTGTACAAAGGTTCTAACTTTTGCGTTCATTGAATCTGCGGCCGAAAACCGGCAAAAAAGACGTCAAAGCTCCATCTACCCTTATCATGCTACCCTTGCCAGACTACTTTTTTTTTTATCTAACCCAACATGTAAGCCCAAAGAATCCCAGGTATTTACAGAAATGCACTCCTGCTTCATTTCTCTACCGAAATGCACTCCCTCTCTACCGCCCTTTTGACTTTCACTTTTTACTTTTCACTGCCAAAGCCCGAACCCGCCGGGCCGAACCGGGTTACAAAAGTTTTGAGAGTTCTGCTGGATGAATCCCGAGTTGTCCACCCGCCGGGTTCTGAGTCCGCTCTGCACCTCCTCCTCCGCCGTCTTCCCAACCCTCTCCGGCCGGGATTCCACGTGGCAGAGAGATGGGATTGAAGGGACAAACATGTCATTGTCATTGTAATTCAAATTCATCTGTCCTTGACCTTGGTGAGTCTGATTATTGAGACCGAGTTCCGGCGCCGAGTTGAGCCCCGCGAGACTCGCCCAGTCGAAATTCCCGGAACCCGTATTCTGAAAATTAAGCTTGCTGTCCTGCTGCTGCAGCGTCTTGAGCGAGTTTATCCGGGGCAGGGTGAAGAACCGGTCGTCGATATCCGGCAACCACTCGAGCCCGTCGTCGAGCTGAGAAGAGCATGGCGACGACGAGCCGTTGCTGTGCTCTTTGCCCGAAACGCTCGTTACGGACTTCTGTGCTGCCGCCGCCGCTGCTGAGCTGGTGCTCTTCTTGTAAATACGACACAAAACCCATTCATCCAACTGTAACCAAAAATTCGAATTCAATTAAATATCGCTCGAATAAATTAAATAAAAAACAAAACGGGGATTGAATCATTAACAAATTATTTACCCTGGAGCTGCCATTTTTGCGAGAGGGCTCGATGAGGCGATACTCGTGCATAATCCAATTGGTCTTGATGCCTTTGGGGGCTTTGCCCACATAGAAAACAAGGGCTTTTTTAATACCAACTTTTTTACCTTCAGTTGTTATGACCTTATCAGTTCCAGTGGCCTTCCAGTACCCAGTGCCGGCAACCCGATTGGGTCGCGACCCATTCGGGTATTTCCGGTCCCTCGGACTGAAAAAGTACCATTCTTTTTCACCAAATATAGCTTTGCCTGCAAAACCGACATCAAATTCCGTTCATTTTAGCACCAAATTAATCAATTCAAAAAATGCTTAGTGTGATAAAACAGTAAAATAAAAAAAATGGTTTTGGTTCTTACTTGGTAAAACCCATGGATCGAACTTGTAGAGATCGATTTCAGCAATTATTTGCAGATTGAATTGGTACCCAGCAACCTTGCGGCAGAGGTACTGAACCAGAAGCTCCTCGTCCGTCGGATAGAATCGAAACCCCGGCGGCAGGCTCAGCTGAGACAGTGGGTCGGTTTCCGGCACACCCATTTTTCTGGTCACAAATTTCAGAGCTCGAAACTGAATCGGGAAGATTTTAGAGAGAGAAAGAAACAGAAGAGAGGAATTTGAAATAAAACTGGAGGAGAGAGGAGAGAGAGTAAATGTTTCAGACCTGCAAATTCCCAAATTTTTTTTTTTTTTCAGTTTTCGAGATATGGCGGTTATATATAGCAGAGCAGGGAAGGGGTGATATGTACGGTCGTTCTTTCGTGCTGCGGATGATTGGGGCCCACCGGAGTACTCACCCGTTTAGAAATTGCCACGCGCCCCTTTGAAGTTCGACGTAATCGTGGATTCGTGCGATCGACCTTATCCGATAACGAGTAATATGGTCCCTGGGGGTTCGGTGCATGAACCATCACGAATATTACCGTGCTGACTCATCCCGTAACCTGACGCGTGTCGGGCGTAAACAAAATCTTCCGGAACCTTTTCTTTGGCGCGCAAAGGCGGGGGGCCCAGTGTCGCAGCTTTTCTAGGGCGTGTGAGCCGTTTTCCACGCGTGGCTTAACCCACGTCGGTCAGAAAAACATGGGACTCGCACTAACACGTGGACAGATCGGAGGGGAGTTAGGCTGGTATTTTGTCAAAAGATGGGAGGGTTGATGGGGAAAGACGAGGAAAAAGAGGTGTGGCGGTTTCGGGGTGGCATGAGAAACCAGGATTACTTAATTTTGGTACAAAAATTTAACGTTAAACTGTAAGATGTGATATAAAATTTATAAAGAGTTTTCTTAGCATTTTTCTTTATAGTATACTACTATACTACTATCAAATTTTTAAACACTAAATGATTAGTTATAACATATAACGAAATCTAACCGTTAAAACATTAATAACTTTTACTCGTTAATTCATCATTCATAATTACAGACGAAAACTTAACGGCTAAAACATTGAGAGGATAGACACTCCGAAGTATCATAACATTTGTTATAACAAGGAATTTTTAAGTGCACTCCAAAGTATGTTACAATCTAGAAATTTTTTATAGTTATATCATTGTGTTAGTTTTATATTATTGGTTGGTTTATTGGTGTACTTTGGATGTGCATGTGTCTGTTGATGAGGAATTAGGGTTTCTTCCACTCATCAACCACTAAGAGCTAGCTTACATGTATGTTAGATAGTATTTTAATACATGGGTTTTGGGCTGTTTTTATTTGGGATTTATATAGGGAAGTGTTATTGACACTCCAAAAATTTTATTGTACATTTCTCATAAGTGTAGTTTTCTTTTCTAATATAGAAAGTTTGAAATGTAGAATGATATTTTTGAAGTGCTAATAACAATTCCCTTTATATAATATATATGTATGATTATTGGCAATTTGTTAAAACTGATGATGTGGGTTGGTCTAGATTTGAGAGGTGGAGAGGACTGGATTGTTCTTTATCTTTGGTATTTTCTTGTGATCTCAAACGTGGCCATATAACAACATATATTTGGGCACGTAGAGGAGGTTTAAGATTATTATATGACATGTGTTTTCAGTGAGGATCGAGTTTTGAAAAGTAGAAGAGTCGATGTTTTGTCTCTTACAAATTTTTACAAGTGTTTGTTAACTTTTTATCATGATTTCTATGATATATTTGATTCGATGATTGAAAATTAAAAGAAATATGTAATATTAAGGAAACTAAATGTGTAGGTTAAATTGGCAATACTAAGGAAATTAAATGTGTATGTTAAATTTTGTAAATTAAATAACATGAAAGTTGACGATTAACGTGTTTATTTCTTATTGATGATACATTACTCAGTTTACAAACTTAGTCTATAAATTTGGAAGCATTTTTAATCACTTCCTAGACTTCAGTGTATACATCCTATATACCTAATCATCTGCCGATGTCCTTTCACTTAATATTGAAAAAGCTACATTGAACGTAAAAGTTTGGATTAATTAGATAAAAGTGCCCCAGTTCTACATCATGTTAATTAAACATTTGTGGGTTTTCAAATCTTTATTAAAATGCTTTGAATTTTGATTAAGATGCTTCCATCTTTATCCGTGTTATTTTCTAATTTCCAACTCATCATTTTAAGTAAATGTTAAGAAAAAAAAAATGAAAATAAGAGTTTTTTATATTGAAACTCATCAGATCTAAAATCCCTAAAGTTGTGGAAGAAAATAAGTTTGAAATTTTTAATTGAGTCATTATCCCAATAATTAATTGTTATGAATTTATTATATCAAATTTTTAGTTCAAAGTTTTAATATGAAAATTTATCTTTTTTAAAGGATCATAACGTACCATTAGCTTGTAAGTACCAAAGTTAGGTTAATACACCGTACCAGTAGCTTGGTACATACTAAAACAAGAATTACATAACGTGCCAAACTGAGTAATTTCTAACGTACCAAAATACTAATACATACCAAAATTAAGATTGTATCATGTACCAATTATGGTATGTTATGTTAATCTTTAATGTACCAAAATACTCATACGTACCATAATTAAGATTGTATAATACGTTATGTTTAATACATATGTGCATTCATATATCATGTCCATATTTGGTATGTTATAGTTAATAGGATGTTAGTTGTATTTTTAGAATTTTGATGAAATCTTCTATTTGAGTAATGAAAAGTGTCGTTTGAAATGAATTATGGTATAATATACATATGTCCATTCATATATCATGTCCATAATTGGTACGTTATAGTTAATAGGATGTTAGTTGTATTTTTAGAATTTTGATGAAATCTTCCATTTGAGTAATGAAAAGTGTCGTTTGAATATCGTCCTCTTCAAATGCCTTCTCATTGGCTTCTCCCACCACCAGGGTGTGTTAGGGCTGGTTTGGTATTGTTGTGCTTGGAAAAAAAGCTGATCTTGATGTGCTGTGAGAATAAGCAGCTGTGAAATAAAGCAGCAGAGTGTTTGGTAAACTTTTTTTGTAAAAGTGCTTTTGAAAGAAAAAAAAAAAGCAGTATTATAGTGTTTGGTAAACTTTTATGTAAAACAGATGTGAAAAAAACAGGTTTTCCAAAGCTGGGTTTTGCAGCTTCTTGTTTTTGGCTTTTTTTCACCCAAAACTGTAAACAAAAGCTGAAGCTGAATGTTTACTAAACACAAAAATAGCTCCCACCTTTTTTTGATACCAGCTTTTTTCAGAATCACCTCAGTACCAAACCAGGCCTGAAGGTTAATGTTGACGGTTCCTTCTTTGTTGGTTCTAATTTGGGTGGTGTGGGTGGGGTATTTCGCAACGCAGCCGGTAGCTATGCTGGAGGCTTTGTTCGCAAAATATCCCCTGCATTGAACCCAATTATGGTGGAACTACTTGCTGTTCGTGAGGGTGTTCGGCTAGCTGCAGATAGGCTTTTGGATCACGTTATTGTGGAGAGTGACTCTTTGCAGGTGGTTCAGGCTATTGGGCGTCGCATTCAGGGATCTTCTATGATGGATCTTCTGGTGGACGGTATTCATGCTTTCTTGCAGGGTTTTGTGGATTCGCAAGTGTGTTATGTGCGGCGTACTGCTAATGGCGTGGCACATAGTATGGCTAAGTTGGCTGTTTCCTTTTCTGAGGATTTTTGTTGGTTTGAGGAGCCTTCGGATGTGATTGTGGAGGCCCTCTCTCATAATGTATGATTTATTATCCTCTGACTAACCTACTATTGTTTCTTTTAAAATATATATATATATATATGTAATTTTTGTTATTAAAAATTAGATTAAGAATGCTTGATCAAAAGTCTAAAACCTAAGGATATCTAATCTAAAAATTTCAAAATTGAGGCACCTATATCAAAACACTCCTAGAAATTTAGATGAAATGACACATAACAAATGATTTGGGATAATATAGTGAACATACAATATAATTATAATAGCGAGTATAGATACGCCTTACAAATTTAATCTAATTAGCATTACTGAAAAAAATAAAATGTGGGTCATCGGTTTCTGCCACGTGCAAGAAAGTATAGCGCTAGATGGCGGCAGGTGAATTGCTTTGTGTGGCGTTTAAATTTTGGACGGTTTTGGCTTTTGAAAAAAGGCATGAAACTTGTCACACGAAACAAAGATTCGGTACCTACTTTTTAGTTTTGCTGCAAGACACGACCTTGAGCTTGAACTGTGAATCACAATACTTAATAATTGTTCGTTTCAATGTTTAGTTTTGATAGATTTGACCAAGCCTCGTGGTTTGCAGCATATTCCAATCTTAAGTTGTGAAACTGACGTACCTGAAAGTCATACATGAGGTATAACTAGAATTTTTTTATAGTAAACGTGAACGCAAAACAAATTATCATTATGATTCGTCATTTGAAAAGATGGACTTTAACTTCAAACCTCTACAACCATATTTAATTATATATTATTTGAGTTTAATAATACTTATTCAATATGATGATCGGAAGTAAAAAGAAACGTGCAAAAAAAAAAATTAAAGAAGTGAGATTTATGAAAACCTTTATCAAACATTATCTCAATAGTTCTTTTTCCTTTTATGTTATTGAACGTGTGTCATACGTGATTTCAAAAGAAGAATAAAAAAAAAGTGAGTCGTATATTCTTTACCACATTTAGTTATTTGGCTTGATTCATAGATACGAAAACCATATGGTCCTTAGCCAATACAAAATGTACAAGTACACACGAGTAGATATAAGGATTAAAGCATAGTAAGATGTGACAAACAGTCCAATACATGATTACCATATGTTAATTGTCAAAAATGGTATTTTATAGAATCCAGACTCCATACTAATGCTTGGAAAAATATCATCAATCATTGGCTATTGAGCTAAAATTGTCTCTGAGATTGATATAAGTATAATTCCTTACTTTGGTTATGAGATTAAGAATCGATAGAAATGGTCTCTGAGTTTGTTCACCGAAAATCATATTGATCTTCTGTAAAAAAAAAATATGTCAACACCATCGTTAAATTGTCACGTGAGCGACCACGTGACCATCTTTTGATGGTTTTTTTTTTTATTTTTTTTATTTTTTTTATTTTTTATTTATTTATCATATCAACCCCTCCTTTTTAGCCAAAACCATTCATGAGGTTGACATCATTTCTTACTTTGGTCCCTGATAATGAAAATTGATGACAGTAGTCCCTAACTTTATTCATCGTAAATTGTTTTGTTCATTCCATATAT